CACAGTAATCCAAGTCTATGCCCCAACCAGTAATGCTGAAGAAGCTGAATTTGAATGGTTGTATGAAGACTTATAAGACCTTTTAGAACTAACAACCAATAAAGATGTCCTTTTCATTATAGGGGACTGGAATGCAACAGTGGTAAGTCAAGAGATACCTGGAGTAACAGGCAAATTTGGCCTTGGAGTACAAAACAAAGCAGGTCAAAGGCTAATAGAGTTTTGCCAAGAGAACGCACTGGTCATAGCAAACACCCTCTTCCAACAACACAAGAGAAGACTCTACACATGGACATCACCAGATGGTCAACACTGAAATCAGATTGATTATATTCTTTGCAGCCAAAGATGGAGAAACTATACAGTCAGCATAAACAAGACAGGGAGCTGACTGTGGCTCAGATCATGAACTCATTACTGCCAAATTCAGATTTAAATTGCAGAAACTAGGGAAAACCACTAGACCATTCAGGTATGACCTAAATCAAATCCCTTAGATTATACAGTAGAAGAGACAAATATTCAAGGGATAAGATCTGATAAACAGAGTACCTGAAGAACTATGGATGGAGGTTCATGACATTGTACAAGAGGTAGTGCTCAAGACCATCCCCAAGAAAAAGAAATGCAAAAAGGCAAAATCGTTGTCTGAAGAGGCCTCACAAATAGCTGAGAAAAGAAGAGAAGCTAAAGGCAAAGGAGAAAAATACAGATATATCCATTTCAATGCAGAGTTCCAAAGAATAGCAAGGAAAGATAAGAAAGTCTTCCTTAGTGATCAATGCAAAGAAATAGAGGAAAACAATAGAATGGGAAAGACTAGAGATCTCTTCAAGAAAATTAGAGATACCAAGGGAACATTTTGTGAAAAGATGGGCACAATAAAGGACAGAAATGGTATGGACCTAACAGAGGCAGAAGATATTAAGAAGAGGTGGTAAGAATACACAGAAGAACTATACAAAAAAGATCTTCATGACCCAGATAATCACAATGGTGTGATCACTCACCTAGAGCCAAACATCCTGGAATGAGAAATCAAGTGGGCCTTAGGGAGCATCACTACAAACAGAGCTAGTGGAGGTGATGTAATTCCAGCTGAGCTATTTCAAATCCTAAAAGATGATGTTGTTAAAGTGGTGCACTCAATATGCCATCAAATTTGGAAAACGCAGCAGTGGCCACAGGACTGGAAAAGGTCAGTATTCATTCCAATCCCAAAGAAAGGCAATGCCACAGAATGTTCAAACTACTGCACAATTTCACTCATCTCACATGTTAGTAAAGTAATGCTCAAAATTCTCCAAGCTGGGCTTCAACAGTATGTGAACCATGAATTACCAGATGTTCAAGCTGGATTTGGAAAAGACAGAGGAACCAGAGATCAAATTGCCAACATCCACTGGATCATTGAAAAAGCAAGATAGTTTCAGAAAAACATCTATTTCTGCTTTATTTACTACACCAAAGTCTTTAACTGTGTGGATCCCAACAAACTGTGGAAAATTCTGAAAGAGATGGGAATACCAGACCACCTGACCTGCCTCTTGAGAAATCTGTATGCAGGTCAAGAAGCAACAGTTAGAACTGGACATTGAAAAACAGACTGGTTCCAAATCAAGAAAGAAGTACTTCAAGGCTGTATATTACCACCCTGCTTATTTAACTTACATGCAAAGTACATCATGTGAAATGCCAGACTGGATGAAGCACAAGCTGGAATCAAGATTGCTGGGAGAAATATCAATAACCTCAGACATGCATAATGATACCACCCTTATGGTAGAAAGCATAGAGGAACTAAAGAGCCTCTTGATGAAAGTGAAAGAGCAGAGTGAAAAAGTTGGCTTAAAACTCAACATTCAGAAAACTGAGATCATGGCATCCAGTCCCATCACTTCATGCAAATCGATGGGGAAATAATGGAAACAGAGACAGACTTGGGGGGCTCCAAAATCACTGCAGATGGTGACTGCAGCCATGATATTAAAAGACACTTGCTCCTTGAAAGAAAAGTTATGACCAACCTAGACAGCACATTAAAAAGCAGAGACATTACTTTGCCAACAAAGGCCTGTCTAGTCAAATCTATGGTTTTTCCAGCAGTCATGTATGAATGTGAGAGTTGGACTATAAAGAAAACTGAGCCCTGAAGAATTGATGCTTCTGAACTGTGGTGTTGGAGAAGACTTTTGAGAGTCGCTTGGAGTGCAAGGAGATCCAACTAGTCCATCCTAAAGGAAATCAGTCCTGAATATGCTGGAGTCCTGAAGCTGAAACTCCAATACTTTGGTCACCTGGTACAAAGAACTGACTCATTGGAAAAGACTCTGATGCTGGGAAAGATTGAAGGCAGGAGAATGGGATGACAGAGGATGAGATGGTTGGATGACATTACTGACTCGATGGACATGCTTTCAAGCATGCTCCAGAAGTTGGTGATGGACAGGGAAGCCTGGCATGCTGCAATCCATGGGGTCACAAAGAATCGGACATGACTGAGCGACTGAACTGAACTGAATCATTAAATTTTGTGTAGACCTAGTTGGCCTCAGGGACAAATCATAGTCATTGACCAAAAAAGCAAGAGATCCTAACATCTTTACCACTCTCATTTCCCAAAGGGAGTTGCTTTGACCCTTGTACTGATTGCTATTTTAGTAAACCATGTTCTGCACTGGAAGTCGGTGAAAACTTTGCATTTACAGGCAGAGTGACAAAGACGGGGCTTGTAAGTAGTAACAGTGGAAGTAATGATAGTAATAGATTCAAAAGTAGTAATTGTAGTTTTAATAATCATATTTAATGAGAGCTTATTGTGTGCTTTCACTGTGTTGCATGCTTTCACTAGCATAATTCATTTAATCCTCACAATTCTGCTCCACCCATTTTGTAGAAAAGGAAAGTGAGCCACAGAGTTAAGTTCGTTGTCTAAAAATCTACAATGATCATAGGCTGAAGTCAGGATTAGAATCAAAAACCAAAGTCTGTCTAAATATGGGGACTTTAAAAAATATATGAGGACTTCCACTGGCAGGAAGAAGGATAAGACATACTATGTCCCATTGCTTACGCTAGATACAACTAAAATCCCTAGTTGCTATACATTAAAATAATTTAAAAAATAAAAGTACTCTGAAATGCAGAGAGAATAAGGCAGATAAAAAGGGGGCAATCCAGAAATGTTAATGGACACAGGCTGATAAAATCCTCTAATAAAAGTCTACTCTTCTAGCCAAAGGGCCAGGAAAAGAGAAGCCTAGTAAGACAGAAAACTTTAAAACAGTAACCACTTTCCTGCAGCCAAATAACCAAGGGGTGGGGGGAGGGAAAAAAACACTGTAAACCACTCATGGCAGTAAATACATTAAAAGTAAGCAGTCCAAATACATCAATTGAAATACATCAATTAGACTGCCAGAGTATATTAAAAGTATCACCCAACTATATGATGCTCTCAGCAAGGAAAAAAAAAGACACTTCAACATATCTCACACTTGGTACGAAAATTAACTCAAAATGTGTCACTGACTTAAATATATAACATAAAGCTATAAAACTTTTAAAACAAAATCTTTCAAGTTTAGGGCTAGGGCTAGGAAAGAGTTCTTAAAATTTTGACAAAAAAGCATGATTAATAAAAGGAAAAATTGACAAATTATACCACATCATAATTAAAAATTGTCACTCTGTAAAGGACAATTAAGAAGACAAGCTATGGACTGAGAAAATATTGGCAATTCACATATCTGACAAAGGACTTTAACTAGACTTTAAAGAACTCACAAAAATCAGCAGAAAAAAATCCAATCAGAAATTGGAAAAAAAAAAAGGCATAAAAAGATGTATCTCTGAAAAAGATAAGTAGATGACAAATAAGCACATGTAAAGATGTTCAATATCATTAGCTTTCAGGGAAACACAAATTAAAACCACAGTGAGATACCACTATCCACACTGCAGAATGGCTTTAAAAATGACAGTATATGCTAGTAAGAATGTAGGTATATTGGATCACTCATATACTACTGGTGCAGCCACGCTGAACAACAATCGTCCATCTCTTTTAAAAGTAAATATTCAACTACCACACAACCCAGACATTGTTGTCCTGGGCGTTTTATTGCACAGAAATGAAAACATGTTCACACAAACACCTGTAAATGGATATATATAACATTTTTAATCATAGTACCTCAAAAATGAAGACAACTCAGGTATCCTTCAGTGGGTGAATGTTTAAACAAACTGTGGTACATCTATACAATAAATACAGCTCACGAATAAAAGGGAACAAACTATTGATAAGTCTAGCAATCTAAATTAACTCCCAGAGAATTGTACTGATTGGAAAAACAAAAACAAAAAGCTGATCCCAACAGTCATATACTCGAAGATTCTATTATAGAAACGGAACACATGGTGCTCATTTTCAGAGGTGAAGGAGCAGTTGGAGACTAGATGGAAGTGGACGTGTCTATCGAATGGCAAAATGAGGGATCCTCTGGGGTTGGAAATACTGTGTATCTTCACCGTATCAAAATCAATACCTTGACTATGCTATTTTATTATAGGTTTTCAAAACGTTGCCATCAGGGAAAACAGTAAAGGGCATATTTACCTGTGGATTACCTCTATGTGTTATTGTCATATGCACAAATTCATATGCATCTTATATCAAAATTAAAAGTTTAATTTAAAAAAAAAACTCAGCATAGGCTGGCCAGAGTTCTGCAGCGCGTCATCGAAATGCGCATGCTCAGTTCTGCCGTAACCTGTCAGGAGAAACCGCCCTTCTGCAAGCTCTCTTGGCATGTGAAGCCGATCTCCCACCATCGGTACAGACACCATCCTCCAGGCTGCCCACATTCTCATCCTCCTCTGAGACACAGAAGGTTCTGACTCAGCACTGTATTTTGATCTTCCACTGATCCTAAATATACATCCGAACACTAAGTCATGCATACACATGTACAAGTGCTAAGTCATCACAACCCCTATTACCTACTCAAAGCCTTAAGTCGGGATGATGGCGCTGCCAAACTCCAAGCAACCACAGCAGCACATACTCCGCAGCACATGGCTCCCAGGTCATGGCTCTCGTCCCCAGAGTTCTGCCTGGTAAACCTAGCAGTAAGCATCTTACAAGCAGGCACTGTATGGAACAGGAAGCAACAGACGTCAAGTATGCTTGGATAATAGGATTGCAGAAAAAATTCCATAACATTCCAAGTGAGAGTCAGTCATACAGCCTTCATTTTATGGATTAAGAAATTTTAGGTTTCGTTTTGTTTGTGTTGTTATTGTTGTTATTGTTGTTTGCGTGAAGGGATAATAGAATGAAAGTTTTGGGCCCTGTACCCTGCCCAAATACACATATGCACTTTGTCAATTGAGCAAAAAAAAAATCTCTGCTGAAATTATTTTCTCTAACCTGTATTAAAGAATGCTTAAACATTTAAGATATGCTCCTATCCAAACTGCAAATGTCAAATGCATGTCTCAAATCCTTGAGCCTGTGATTACCAGATTCAGTGTAAGGATCTTTAGAGATACTTGTTAACTATAAACATCTCCACTTTATTGTACTGTTTTATTCTTATATTCAAATTGCTAATATTCCTTATCTAATTGTTAGTCCTTCAGTCATGTCCAACTCTTTGCGACCCCATGGACTGTAGCTCACCAGGCCCCTCTGTCCATGTAATTCTCCAGGCAAGAATACTGGAGTGGGTCGCCATTCCCTTCTCCAGGGGATCTTCTTGACCCAGGTATTGAAGCCAGGTCTCCTGCATTGCAGGCAGATTCTTTACTGTCTGAGCCAGCAGGGAAACCCTGCTTTTTGTGACCCCATGGACTGTAACCTGCCAGGCTTCTCTGTCCTCCACTATGTCCCAGAGTTAGCTCAAACTCACGTCCATTGTGTCAGTAATGCTATCTACCTTCTCATCCTCTGCCACCCCCTTCTCCTTTTGCCTTCAATCTTTCACAGCATCAGAGTTTTTCCCAATGGGTCAGCTCTTCACATTAGGTGGCCAAAGTATTAGAACTTCAGCATCAGTCCTTCAAATGAATGTTCAGGAAATGAATATTTCCTTTAGGATCAACTGGTTTGATATCCCTGCAGTCCAAGGACCTCTCAAGAGCCCCTCTCCAGCACGACAATTTGAAAGCATCAATTCTTTGGCACTCAGCCTTCTTTATAGTCCAACTCTCACATCTGTACATGACCACTGGGAAAACCACATTCAAATACTTAAACCAATGGGTCAAAAAGTATTGTTAAAACAAGATAAATTTTTCTGACATATGACTTAGAGCGTGATTTCTCAGCCTTGGCATTACTGTTGCTTTAGATGGGATAATTCTTTGACAGAGGACCTGTTTTGTGCATTGCAGGATAAATAGCACATTCCTGGCCTCTACCAAATAGACATCAACAACATCCCCAAGTTATGAAAATCAAAAAATATTCCAAACATTGCTAAATATTCCCTTGGGATCAAAATTCCCAGCATTTAGAACTACTATTGCAGACAAATAGTCAGACATTCAAGGCATGGTAGACATTATAATATGGCCAAATAGTAAATATCAGTAATATAATATTTTCTATATTGATATAAATAAATTTGCAATCAAATAAATTCAATTTCATCCTTTTATACAGTAGACATTAGCTAATCTTGCTCTAATTCTTAGAATTATTCTTCCAGGTGGGTGTCATTCTTTCATGCAAACTGATGTTGAAATTGGGCTGCAGTTAAGTGAATTGTTTAAAGGCTCAAAGATAAAAATACACAAAATTGATTTTTTTAGTTAGCTGGATCTTTACCCACTGCTTTCTGTTTTGAAACAGCAGTTGAAAATCTCATTATATACTGCTTTGTTTTTTTGTGTGTGTGCTTTCAGATAAACCCTTGAAGCCATCAAAACAATCTATTCCATAAACATATCCACCAGCTCTAAAACTTTCCCACTGTCCTTTTTATTTATTATTATTATTATTTATCTTTCTTTCTAGTGATCTCCTGTACATCATAGCACCTATAGTAAACAATACCCTGTTGTATACTTAAAAGTTTCCTAAGAAGGCATTTATTGTTGCTGTTCAGTCTCTAAGTCATGTCCGATCCTTTGTGACCCCATGGACTGCAGCATGCCAGGCTCCTCTGACCTTCACTATCTCCTGGAGTTTGCTGGAATTTGTATCTATTGAGTCAGTGATGCTATCTACCCATCTCATCCTCTGCCGTTCCCTTCTCCTTTTGCCTCAGTCTTTCCTTGCATCAGCGTCTTTTCCAAGAAGCTATATCTTATATTAAAACTGAGTTTTTTTAAACATAAGTGGATTTTAATGACATAGCATGTATAACATGAGACCAAGATAAAAGATAAATGAGATTTTAACTGAGATTTAACTTATAATCAACCTTGAGTATTAACACATATCTTTATAGCAACTATAAAGATTCCTAATTATTGTAATCATTCCCATTCTGCTTTATTAGGTATTTGTTTTACATATAAACTTGTGAAAACCAGACTTGATAGAAATACATCAACATTTATGTAATATTTTAACTGAGGACACTTTATTATTTATAACACAAACATAAAATAATAAATTACTCAGAAAGTCTTTGACTTCTAAAAGAAATACTTAGATCATATATACATTGTAGAAGTAATTTTTTATTGAGTTATAGTTGATTTACAATAGGTTAGTTTCACATATGCAAATTCAATTATACATAAAAATATATCTATTTTTTTCAGATTATTTTCCCTTATAGCTTATTACATAATACAGAGTACAGCTCCCTGTGCTATTTTTAGGTCCTTGTTGGTTATATAATTGATCTAGAAAGTACTTTTGATTTTGTAAACTATATCCTGAATCATCACCATCATGAAAAATATAATTTCCAAATGAAAATCATGCCAATTTACCTTTTTCAGTTGACTTATGGAATCATCTCAAATCAAAACTCCCACCCAAGTGATTCTCATTGGCCCCTGGCAGCTGCGGAGCCATGCTGGATTTCTCCACTGAGTCCTGCCGAATCACCTTCACAGCAGAGCCTTGGGCAGACAGCGTCTCACTGTTCCCGCCCTCACGATCTTAGCTCAGGCTAGTCTGTCTCCTAGACAATGACAGTTGACCTAGCCCATCTCCTTCTCTACCTTTGCTCCACACAGACTATGCTCTTGTGGCAGTGAGAGCAAGACTTAAGAAAGGTTAATCTACTGAAAGAGATGCTCATCACACTCCTACCTACAGCCTTCCCATCACACTCAGGATTAAACTCAAGAGATCTTTCCGAGAGCTGCGGAGCTGTAACAAGCTGGCCCAGAGCCTGTCTCTACCCTCACCTCCAGCGGCCCTCTCCCCCCACTCCAGGCCTAGCAGCCACCCTGGTCTAGCTGCTCTTCTTCAGACACATCCAGCAAACTCCCAACTCAGGACTTTTAGTTCTGGCTATTTCACTGACTCTTCCCCTAGAATGCTCCTCCCCTCTTTTCTCCAGGCTCTGCTCCAGTGTGCCTTCCTCCGAGAAGCCTTTCCTGTCCACCCTGTGTGAAATAAAAGGGGTCACATCTCCTAAGTCTTGACTCATTTCCCTTGCTTTATGTCACGTTACACTTCTTAATAATTGATATTATATTGCATCTGCTTTCTGCTCTTCTGTTGAACTGCCTTTCCCTCTAGAATGTAAGCTCTACACAGACAGGGAACATGGCTTGTTCTTTACTCTGGCTCTGGGATCTAAGTTTATTGCTTGTCTTCAATAAATATCTGGTGAGTAAGTGAACGAATGAAACCTGAATATTAACAGGGACTTCAAAGTCTTCTGAGATTTAGGTGAGGATTTCTTAAGTGCCCCTCCTACCCCCGCACCACCTACACATACTCTCTACGTTGCAGAGCTCTCCTCAAGACTTCCAGGAATTTCCAAGGGGGTTGTTGTCAGCACACCTCTAGTTCAAACTGCTTGCGTTCTTGGTTTGTGAATCATCTTTCCATCCTGGGTGCTCCATCTCTGCCCCATGAAAAGCCTTCTCCCTTAAGCGAACTTGGGTGTTTGGTAAACTATACTGAAGTTTTATGGATAGTAAAAGGCAAGGTTTTTACAGAGACTTTGTAAAGAAAAACTTTGAAGTACACATTAAAGTGAAGTGAGAAAGTGTTAGTTATTCAGTCCGACTCTTTTGCGGACCGACTCTTTTGCAACCCCTTGAACTGTAGCCCACCAGGCTCCTCTGTCCACAGAATTCTCCAGGCAAAAATACTGTAATGGTTGCTGTTCCCTTTTCAGGGGATCTTCCCAACTCAGGGATCAAATCCAGGTCTCCTGCATTGCAGGCAGACTCTTTACCGTCTGAGACACCAGGGAAGCTACATATTAAATGTCTTTCTTTAAAATCCTTCAGTCCTTATAAAGGAGTTTTTCATAAGCACACTACCTTGTAAGTTTTCCTAACCCCACGCTGACCTCCCTGTCCCTACTTCACTTCATCACTCCCTCATGTCACATTCTCCAGAGTAAAAACACACTCCTCTCCTCATTTCACACAGAAAGCTCATTCCTCTCCTTTCTTGCCTTTGATCTTTATGGCTCCATGGCATCTCTCCTTCCATCCCCCAAAGCTCTTAAAGGCATTTTCCAGAAGAATGTCAAGTTAGCTGTTAAGGTGATATATCTATGGCTTCTTAAGCTATCAAAGGCTCTATTATTCCACATGAAAACCAAATATTGCCACCTGAATAAATATATCTCATCCTTGTATACACTAACAATCTTTCATATATCCATACACATGTGTATATAGGTACATAAACACAAGCATATGTATAAACACATATGTACATATACACTATATTTTAAATATATAGATATGTATCTATATATCACCATGATTCATAAAAGAAAAATTATCAGAAAATATTAATAAGTTCACATGAATTCATAGAAACAATCACTCATCTGGTATTTTTGTCAGTCAGTTCAAAAAAGAACAACTTTAACCAGGCATACGTCTGTAAGCCTTTCTGATGTTAAAAACAGTTTCCTCATACCTGACAAGACTGGGAGTTTATCACCTATCCAATACCTACTTTTGGAAACAGCATTTAGAGTGAAAATGGACAAA